AGTGGACTCAGATGAGCATCCTTAGCACAGCCGGATCAGGGATATTTAGCAGCGACAGAACAATCCAAGACTACGCGGAGAAGACTTGGGGAATTGAACCGTGCAGATTCCCTTCTGATGGCTAGCTCACCCTCACCCTCATCCACACCCCAGTAGCAACATTTTACATATTTGAATGGAATGTATCGGAAAGAATTTAAATTCTCATTCCCCAACGTCGCTTGTATAAATAAAATAATTGAAGAAATAACTGTAGCCCAATGGGCTAAAGTGGTATTTTAGCCCTAAACCCTTAAATGATATGAAAAAATTGTATAGTTAAAGAGTATAGCTGCCGTGTATAGCCGTTTGGCTACTCCCTTTAAATATTAGTATATTCGAATATTCTAAACGTATAGCCGCGTGGCTATACGCTTTCAATATATTCAACATGAACACTAAGCTTGCACTTGCAGTCACAGCCATTTCGCCTCTCTATCAACTCAACCTTCGATTTGTTTTCCTCGGTTTTGGCTGCTTCGTCCTCTAGGTTTGGTACCAAAAAATGAGCCAACCCGCCTAGCCGCCTAGGCCGATTTTTCAAACACTGCGATTGATTGAAAGTCTGAAACCCGAAATTGAAAAAATTTTGCTGCAAATTTGAGCTTGAGATTGAAATTGGGAAGCACAAGTCAGTTCCGTAGAAGAAGAGATCTCATGCCTCTAATTCCATTCCTCTCCATGCTTCCCACCTTATTCTACTCTCTTGGCTCTCTCTCAAACGACATGTTCACCTCACCACACCAACGACAACGATGACAATTCCTCCCCTCTGCCAACTCCGCATGAAACTTGATTACTCTTTATGCATTCAATATTCATCCATTGATGGTTCTTCTTGGTTGGACTGCTCTTCATTCTTTGGACATTGCATTTCTGTTATAGATTTTGACATTTGATCATGCCCTCTTGTTTGCTGAGAGAACAAAAAAAAAAAAAATGTGTCTCCTCCTCCTCTTGCACATAGGAACACAAAACCAACCCACCAAAGAACAGAAAAAAAATATTAAAATATTACACCACCTCAAGTGAAAAATCTAATTCATTTAAGCTTTTAAATTTGTTCTTGTATCAGCACCTGTATGAGCAACAAGGTGAATTGTAAATGGACTCTACTTCTGTATTTGAGTTGTAATCCACTAGGATGAGTGTAAAGCCCTTATTTATGCTTACGGTCTCTCACTAGGGCTAACAGTCAATCTATAGCTCAAACGCAGTTATATTGTATGGCCATGAGTTCACAACAACAAAGTCCTATAATCAAATTCCTGTCAGATGAAAGTATTTATGCAAGACCAGAGGGAGTAATGTTCATTTAAACTTAAAAACATTCCCCAAGATCATGTACACAAATCTTTCATCTACATGGAACGCCATCAAGATATGAACTAATCAAGTTTGTTGAATGAATGCTTGCCAAGATCCTCATCCTTTCAACATGGCTCTTAAAACATCTACTGGCACAGCTTTATTAAGTGGATATGTAACCATAGACTTTGTATCTTTGTAATCTATCTTGAGATGCCTCTCCTTGATCTTTTCTTTAACCATCAAGAAAATGCTTGGTACCTACAGATCTTTTATTGTTTCTTTAGAATAAAACTGCTCTTGTATTATTACAATAAAACTGCAACTGTTGCTTCCTTGACTCCTTTCAATAAACTGCCCCTTCATCCAACAAGAATACATTACTAGAGGTCGACGTACTTCAGGACATCCTGCAAAAATCTTTAGTTCTCTTTTAAACCAGCATGTTACTCTTTGCCTTTTACAGATACCTAAAACACTTTCTTTACTGCATTCCAATGAGCGTTTCCAACATTGGACCGGAATTTACTTAACACACTGATGACAAATGCCAAGTCTGGCCTATTACAAACTCGTGCATACATAAGACTCCCAAAAATTATCAAATAAGAAAATTCTTTCTGTGAATGTCATTCAGTGGTCAAGGGATAAAACTTTATGCATAAACTGTGATGTTAGCAACTGTAATACCACAAATTATGTCCTACATTCACAAGAAATCTTTAAAGAAATTAACAAACCATATTAATTCCTATTTAAAAGCATGAAATTCTCTATTGTTTCAATGTTGAAACCCTGAAGAGAATCTTGAACCAATTCAGTTAGCCAAACATTCCTAATGGTTTCCAAAATTAAAGTTTCTTATTAAAATTCCTTTATCCTTCAAATCCTTTAAGCAAACCAGAAACAATCCTTATGGCATTAGAAGAATTGTAAGTTATATATATAAGATACCAAAAAAATAAGAAACCGAGCTCCCATATCATGGCCTTAATAGTAATGTAACTTTCTCTTCTTTTATCTTTTCTTTTACAAGCATAAAATCATGTCTGAAAGCTTAGTAACGATCACAACCTTAGGACATCCATATTAACTTTAATTTTTAATACCTTCAAGTTCCTTTATGAAAAATATGAACATGTTAACTAGACATACTTGTTCTATATGTTCATACAAAAAAATAATCTTAACCATATTAATACTGTAAAATATACCAAAACCAAAATAACTCAAAACTGCAATTAACCTCAGCCTATGGCTTCACTTCGAATTTCTTAATTTGATGCATACTTTAAATTTCAACTAAATAGCTAGAAAACCAAAACAAAACAGTGGAAAACTGTTGTAAATAAAACTTCACGAGCATGCGAAATGTGCTGTAATTAACTTTAGGCTATATCTCAACCTTCTGGTGAGTAAAACTTTATGATCTTACAAACTAGGGCAGTGGCTCAACTTGAAAAACTTTTGGTGAATGAAACTTAATGAGCTTGTAAAATAGGGCAGTGAGTGTGAAGTCCAAAAACCATACATCATTTCTCCCACTTGGACAAAACACTCACTACTTGGTTACTCTTGAAATGAATACACCAAAACCTTATAACTTTAAAACATGATAGTTATTAATTAGTATACGTTGATAAGATAATATCATACGACTTTTAAGATGTACCGCTTTAAATAATTCACACAATTTCTTTATTAGTTTGACTAACCTCAAATTACTTAGAATCAAACTAGAGACATAAAGCTTCACATAAAGAAATTTAGAGTCTTTTTATGTCTATTTAATGGTCTAAAATAACCTAAAAACTTAAACTTCATAAAACCTGCCAGCACAAAACTTTTCCAGAACAAAGGTTACTTAAAAATTTGCCAAAATTAAAATCCATATTCAATAACCACGAAAATTTGCAGTCTATGAGAAGACACATATACGTTCATCGTGCAAAAGCTACAGGTCATGTGAAAAGCTTCAGATGAGTCATTCATTAATCTTTACTCATAGTCCAGAATCTGTCAGGAAAGTTTATGTGCATCTGTATCAACTTTATAAATCCACCAAAAATTCAATACAAATTTACATGAAATTCTACACAAGAGATATCCAAACAGACATCATATCTTGAGATTTCAAAACTGAAAACTGAACCAAAATTATGAGAACTGACATGTACCTTGAGTGCTTTTGAAATACTTATGTGTCCAAACCGTATGTACTTTATACCACTTGAAAACTAAACCAAATAAGTCACTGTTCTTTAAACAAAAAACAATATGATATTCTTGAAACAAACTGCAGAGGATTTAAATGAATAGAGTTCTTAAAAACTGATGTTCTTTAACAAGGTTAAAGCTCAAGTTTCTTTTAGGCTATCATTTAAAACATCTTTATTCCCACAACTGTATGTACGCTATATTCTCACTTTTGAGGAGAATACAACCTGTTTATTAAAACTAGATCACAAGACTAAACCACATGATGTCTTATCTTGTGCCATTATGAATTGAACCATACTAGTCCTCATTTGAGAGGAAAACTTCATAATGCCATTTTGATCATTGCAGAATTTAAAAGGTCTCACAGGTATGTATCAAAAGCCCTTTGTTAATTGGTCTGTAACAGCTGTTGGAAAAGGAAAATATTTCTTCAATGTTCTTAGGAGGACACTGAGGCCACTCCTATGATACATCTTTATCATTTTCTGCCATTAAGTCTGCTGTTGTTAAATCTGTAGGGAAATTTAACTTTGATGGCATGTAGGTGCTCATCTCATATTTTATTTTCTTTAGTGATGAAATTATGCTCTTGCTACAACACCCAAAAAAACAAAGCTATATGCTACTTCAATCTTTAGAATCAAGCCAATTCATTTATACACCCTGTTAGACAGCTTCATTCTATTCCTGATAGTTTTTCTGAAATCAATTATTTTAGATGCACAGCCCTAACAGTTTAAGACTTTTCCTTGTACGTTTTTCTGGTTGTATACTATATATTCCTTTTACTAGAGTTGCATTAAAGGATATCAGAATTTCCAGATTCATTAATAACCAAAACTTAATTATCAAAAGCAGAAAGTGCACCTAGCAGATCAATTATGTTTAGTCATAAGAAGACAATCCAACAAAATGAAACCTGGGAGTAATAGGCTCCTTTAGATATGCTCGTATGCTTGATAATGGGCTTCAAGAACAAAAGAACAGAACCAGACCCACCCTGGCACGCAGATCCGCCTAGAGCCGCCTAGAGCCGCCTAGCGACGCCTAGAGCCGCCTAGAGCCGCCTAGCCCCGCCTAGAGCCGCCTAGCCGCCTAGCCCCGCCTAGCCCGCCTAGCGATGCCTAGCCCCGCCTAGCGTAGCCCAGACCAGTCTAGCGCCGCCCAGACCCTCCCAGGGCGCCTAGGCTGATTTTTCGTAATGCAGACTCCCGAACCCATCGCATCACCATCCCTCCCCACCCTCTCACACTTTGCATAAAACTCCACTCTCTCTCTCTCTCTCTCTCTCTCTCTCGTATGTGCAGCCATGTGTTTCCTACGTGTGTGTGGGAGAGTGCAATTTTGTGATTTGCCACATATTCGTGGACTCATATGGCCTTTTATAATTTTGAAGGAAGAGTTCGACGTTTCTTTTAGGCTTAATTATGTACATGCCCCCTGTGCTTTCCAACTTATCTCAAATTACCACCTGTGGTGGAAAACGTCTCAAAGTACCCCCCAACGTGCAAAAAACTGTCTCACGTTACCCTTTCCGTCAGTTTTTTTTGAAGTTCCGTTACGAACGTTACTGTTCATCTCCCCCAAAATTCCAGAACAGCAGCTCCTCCCATTTGTTACTGTTCATCGCACCAGTTTTTGGGCTGCCATCGCCTCCTCCGGCCACCCCAAGCGACGACATGGATATCAAAAGAACCAGCACGTTGTCCTCTACCACCCTCACATCTCAGCCGCTGCCAACCGTCGTCTGGATCACCGAAAAAAGCAAGAAATTGGCCGGTTTTTACCCAAAATCTCCATTGCTCGTTCGGGCGATTCCGAGCACCATTTTCTTCGATCCAGGTATGATTTTTCAACCTCTCGAGTTGTTCTTGCTGCTAGTTGTGTTGGTTAGGAGAAATTTCTGAGTTTTGGAGGGTAAATAAGCGATGAACAGTAACAAAGGGGAGGGGCTACTGTTCTGGAATTTTGGGGGAGATGAACAGTAACATTCGTAACGGAACTTCAAAAAAACTGACGGAAAGGGTAACGTGAGACGGTGTTTTGCACGTTGGGGGGTACTTTGAGACGTTTTCAAACACAGGTGGTAATCTGAGATAAGTTGGAAAGCACAGGGGGCATGTACATAATTAAGCCTTTCTTTTATAGCGAACAGTGCAGCCGCATGGCTATACTCTGCTTGCACATTTTCAAAACAGTGTAGTGGTTTGGCTATACCCGGCATCCTGTTCACTGAGGCAACGACTACAAGTGACTAAAAGCCAATCAAATCTAATGACACGTTAAATTTCGACTGTCAAATCATGTTACTTGTTCAATATATTTTTTGTTTTCTTAATGTCTGGTTAGTGTGTAGACACCAAATTCCTGTTTAATGGAATACAGGTATATCCAGGTCACACAAACTACTCCAGGACAGAACTTAATACATAAAAGAATAATCTTTGGAAGATGATATATTATTATTAAGCATGGATTAAGACAGTTATGTGGTTCAAAGTTTTTAAAGAATAATCTTTGAAACTGTGATATCTGAAAATCAATCTAGTGGTTTACAAGAATGATCAGTTAACTAATTGGGCAGTTATATGGTTCAAAGTTTTTTTTGTCATTTTATAATGATTTTCAATGTAGTTCCTATTTAAAAATCCTGGTAGGTTTTAGAAAATGGAGGTATCTCTCTACGAGTAATTGCCTGAACTTTAATAGATACGGAATTTGATTCATCTGATCTTTTTCTTCATGTGTAAAATCAGGGTTATGCACCTGCATTTGAGGAAGGCACAAAGTCTAATTGTGGCAGTCTTGGTGATATGCAACTGTTAAATCAATTCTATGATGACGTTAGTGGGGCTTAGTTTCCACATCATCAAACTGCTCGACAATTCATCATCCTTGACAATTTGACATTTTGTCGTCCAAAATATCCAATAAGGCCTTGTTTCTTTATTGCCGATTCAAAGACATTTGAATATTTTAAAAGTATAGCCGAGCGGCTATACTCTTAACACGAAGCTTGCACTCGCAGTCAAGCCATTTCGCTTCTCTATCAACTCAAGCTTCAATTTGTTGTCTTTGGTTTCGATTGCTTCGTCCTCTGGGTTCGGCAACGAAAAAAGACACAACCCACCTAGGCGCCCGCCTAGCCACCTAGCTACCGCCTAGCATCCTCGCTCCCCCCTAGCCACCGCCTAGCGCCCTCCTAGCAACCGCCTAGCCACCTCGCTCCTTCCTAGCAACAGCCTAGCTGCCTGGAGCCTGCCTAGCGACTGCATAGCCACCTAGCCGCTCGCCTAGGCCGATTTTTCGAACACTGTGATTGACTGAAAGTCTGAAACAACAATGGCCTCTTTCAGCATCCTTTGTCTCCTTTTGCGTCTATGCTTTCTCAACTGCTTCGGGTTTCATGTGTCCATGGCTCAAAATGCTACTACCGATCCATCTGAAGGTACTAGCCATCTTTCAGGTATAGCATAAATACGTTATGTGATGTGTACGCAATGATTGAATTGAGAATACAGTGACGGAGTTGATCTCAATATTCAAGCAATGAGACATGCAAGCCCTGCCTATCATTGGATGAGAGCAATGCTTTGGATTTGCCATCAATGGAAGCGAGTTTGAAAAGCCAGAGAATAATCCAGCCTCTCTCTCTCTCTCTCTCTCTCTCGCTCCCTCTCCATATTCTTTAGTCTTGTGTTGTAGTATAGCTGGTCGGCCGTAATTTTTCAACACGTGGCATTTTAAAAAAATAAAAAATAGTATAGCCGTGCGGCTATACTCCTTTTTTTAAATTTTTTAAACAAAGATGGTATAGCCGGTGGGATGTACTTGTTTGACACGTGGAACACAGGTTGGGGCCTGTCTTTATATACAGTGTATGGCTAAAAAAAAAATTGAAGTATTACACCACCTCAAGTGAAAAATCTAATTCATTTAAGCTTTTAAATTTGTTCTTGTATCAGCACCTGTATGAGCAACAAGGTGAACTGTAAATGGACTCTACTTCTGCATTTGAGTTGTATTCCACTAGGATGAGTGTAAAGCCCTTATTTCTGCTTCCGGTCTCCCACTAGGGCTAACAGTCAATCTATAGCTCAAACGCAGTTGTATTGTATGGCCATGAGTTCACAACAACAAAGTCCTATAATCAAATTCCTGTCAGATGAAAGTATTTATGCAAGACCAGAGGGAGTAATGTTCATTTAAACTTAAAAACATTCCCCAAGATCATGTACACAAATCTTTCATCTACATGGAACGCCATCAAGATATGAACTAATCAAGTTTCATATAAATCTGAATTGTGTAAAATATAATTGAAATTATAATGAAACATCCAGAGGTCCTCTTAAGACTATTTCTAGTCATTTCTTGAGTTTTGATAATCTTGGTTCCTTAATAAATTAACCATACTCAATGATTATCAATAATATTTATCAAACAAACTGAAATACTTGATGTACATTTAAACCAAATTCAATCTTAAATGCGGAGATAAGAAAACCTGGACGAAGTCAAGTATAGAATTGCTTCTCCCACTAGTCTGTTGAGTGAAGATCCTCATCCTTTCTTTATAAAAAAAAAAAAACATCTACTGGCACAGCTTTATTAAGTGGATATGTAACCATAGACTTTGTATCTTTGTAATCTATCTTGAGATGCCTCTCCTTGATCTTTTCTTTAACCATCAAGAAAATGCTTGGTACCTACAGATCTTTTATTGTTTCTTTAGAATAAAACTGCTCTTGTATTATTACAATAAAACTGCAACTGTTGCTTCCTTGACTCCTTTCAATAAACTGCCCCTTCATCCAACAAGAATACATTACTAGAGGTCGACGTACTTCAGGACATCCTGCAAAAATCTTTAGTTCTCTTTTAAACCAGCATGTTACTCTTCGCCTTTTACAGATACCTAAAACACTCTCTTTACTGCATTCCAATGAGCGTTTCCAACATTGGACCGGAATTTACTTAACACACTGATGACAAATGCCAAGTCTGGCCTATTACAAACTCGTGCATACATAAGACTCCCAAAAATTATCAAATAAGAAAATTCTTTCTGTGAATATCATTCAGTGGTCAAGGGATAAAACTTTATGCATAAACTGTGATGTTAGCAACTGTAATACCACTAATTATGTCCTACATTCACAAGAAATCTTTAAAGAAATTAACAAACCATATTAATTCCTATTTAAAAGCATGAAATTCTCTATTGTTTCAATGTTGAAACCCTGAAGAGAATCTTGAACCAATTCAGTTAGCCAAACATTTCGATTTGTTTTCTTTGGTTTCGGCTGCTTCGTCCTCCGGGTTCGGCAACGAAAAAAGACCCAACCCGCCTAGGCGCCCGCCTAGCTACCGCCTAGCAGCCTAGCAGATCAATTATGTTTAGTCATAAGAAGAGAATCCAACAAAATGAAAAGAACGTGAAACCTGGGAGTAATAGGCTCCTTTAGATATGATCGTATGCTTGATAATGGGCTTAAAGAACAAAAGAACAGAACCAGACCCACCCTGGCAACCATATCCGCCTAGCGCCGCCTAGCGCCGCCTAGACCCGCCTAGATCCGCCTATCTCCGCCTAGCACCGCCCAGACCCTTCTAGCATCGCCCAGACCCGCCCTGGCTGCCTAGGCCAATTTTTCGTAATGCAGAGTATGGATTTTTCGTAATCTAGAAGCCTCTGCTTTTCATCTGCTACGAGTATATACACCTGCAATGAGAGAGAGAGAGAGAGAGAGAGAGAGAGAGAGAGAGATAATTAATATGTGTTTACAGATTTTCTTCTCATTTCTTGCCGCCCCTTCTAACATCTTTAAACCCTTACTGCGCACCCAAAACCCAGTGCATCACCATCCCTCCTCCCCACCCTCTCACACTTTGCATAAAACGCCCCTCTCTCTCTCTCTCTCTCTCTCGCTCGTATGTGCAGCCATATGTTTCCTACATGTGTGGTGGTGAGAGTGCAATTTTGTGATTTGCCATATTCGTGGACTCATATGGCCTTGTATAATTTTGAAGGAAGAGTATGACATTTCTTTAATAGAGAATAGTGTAGCCGCATGGTTATACTCTGCTCACGCATTTTCGAAAACAGTGTAGCCGTACGGCTATACCCGGGAATTTTGAAAAAAAAAAGGTATATTGGCGCGGCTATACTTGTATCGGCTATAATAATATGACAAAATTGTATATTTAAAGCGTATAGCCGCTCGGCTATATTCTCTAAATGTATACGAATAATTTAAAATTTAACAGTATAGCCGGTCGGCTATACTTTCTAAAAAGATTCGAATATTTTAGGGCACATAACCAAATTGGAAATCCCATAAACACCTAAAGAAAAGCACGAATTTTGTCTGAGAGGATTGAGAATGAGGAGGATGTATGTGAAAAAAGTCAGAATCGAAACCAAGAATTAGGGTTTTTTGAGGCCCTGAAGGAGCAGAGGAGAAGAGAAAGACGTCGATTGAAGACATGAAAAGAGAGGGAATTGAGAGATTGTTGAAGGGAGAGAGCATTTAATGAAGAAACACTCTCTTTCACCTTCAAGAACCCCCACAACAAACCCTAACATTGACTGCAGAGAGAGAAAGAGAGTGCTGTTTAGGTTTTCGCGACAGAGGGAGAAAGAGAGTGGTGGTGGTCGATGGAGAGAGAAAGCGCTGAGAGAGGAAGAGAGAACTGTGAGAGAGAGCTGTGAGAGAGAGAGAGAGAGGAGAGAGAGAGAGAGAGAGAGCAAGCGAACGCAGAGAGAGTGAATAGGGAGCTGAGAGGGACCAAAATTTCTGTAACAGTGATATTTGTGCAATAAGTGGACAATAAATATATATTTATAGGTGATAGTTTTACAATTTTTGAGAATGGGTGGTATTTTCACTTAAAATTATGAAAAGGGTGGCATAGAAGGCCATTTCCCAATATTTTAAGTGTATAGCCGTGCGGCGCTACTCTTCAAATATATTCAAGACGAGCATGAAGCTTGCACTCGCAAAGGACGGAACTTGCTCTCGCAGTCGCTGCTTCGTCCTCCGGGTTCGGCACCGGAAAAAGACCCAACCCGCCTAGTCGCCTAGAGACCGCCTAGCCGCCCAGCGCCCGCCTAGCGACCGCCTAGCCGCCTAACGACCGCCTAGCCGCCTAGCGCGCGTTCTTGAAGGGTTCAACGACAATTCACAAGATGCACATTCTTGAAGGTAATATTGGATATCCCACACTCGTAGTAGTAGTTCAGAACTTCAGATAGGTTGATATATAGTCAATATAATATTCTGACCATCTGTGAACTGTTGCGGGAATTTAAATCCCGTCAGCACTGACGGCATCAAGTCTTTTCGACAATTGACCTATTTTGCTTTTTACAAAATATAATCTCACATTTACTCAACAAATCTGATGTTTTGCAGTTCATAAACAACCTTTCTGATGACCCTCTGCTGAAGACGCTTGGGCCTAACTTCAGATTCTATTTCTATCGAGGTTTTCATCAGTTCAAGAGTGTCTTTGCAGAATTTAAAAGGTCTCACAGGTATGTATCAAAAGTCCTTTGTTAATTGGTCTGTAACAGCTGTTGGAAAAGGAAAATATTTCTTCAATGTTCTTAGGAGGACACTGAGGCCACTCCTATGATACATCTTTATAGTTTTCTGCCATTAAGTCTGCTGTTGTTTATATTTGCCTATCGCTTTACTTTTATAGAATAGTTTCCAAATTTAGGTGGTTGGTTTTCTAATTTCAAAGAACTCTGAAGGCACTGAGAATTTAGGTGGTTGGTTATAAAATTATTAGTTGTAAAACACTGAGAATTACATGACAGATGCTTGTATTACCCTAAATAATCTCATTTAGCAGGTTTACTTAACACACTGATGACAAATGCCAAGTCTGGCCTATTACAAACTCGTGCATACATAAGACTCCCAAAAATTATCAAATAAGAAAATTCTTTCTGTGAATGTCATTCAGTGGTCAAGGGATAAAACTTTATGCATAAACTGTGATGTTAGCAACTGTAATACCACAAATTATGTCCTACATTCACAAGAAATCTTTAAAGAAATTAACAAACCATATTAATTCCTATTTAAGAGCATGAAATTCTCTATTGTTTCAATGTTGAAACCCTGAAGAGAATCTTGAACCAATTCAGTTAGCCAAACATTCCTAATGGTTTCCAAAATTAAAGTTACTTAAAAATTTGCCAAAATTAAAATCCATATTCAATAACCACGAAAATTTGCAGTCTATGAGAAGACACATATATGTTCATCGTGCAAAAGCTACAGGTCATGTGAAAAGCTTCAGATGAGTCATTCATTAATCTTTACTCAAAGTCCAGAATCTGTCAGGAAAGTTTATGTGCATCTGTATCAACTTTATAAATCCACCAAAAATTCAATACAAATTTACATGAAATTCTACACGAGATATCCAAACAGACATCATATCTTGAGATTTCAAAACTGAAAACTGAACCAAAATTATGAGAACTGACATGTACCTTGAAAATACTTATGTGTCCAAACTGTATGTACTTTATACCACTTGAAAACTAAACCAAATAAGTCACTGTTCTTTAAACAAAAAACAATATGATATTCTTGAAACAAACTGCAGAGGATTTAAATGAATAGAGTTCTTAAAAACTGATGTTCTTTAACAAGGTTAAAGCTCAAGTTTCTTTTAGGCTATCATTTAAAACATCTTTATTCCCACAACTGTATGTATGCTATATTCTCACTTTTGAGGAGAATACAACCTGTTTATTAAAACTAGATCACAAGACTAAACCACATGATGTCTTATCTTGTGCCATTATGAATTGAACCATACTAGTCCTCATTTGAGAGGAAAACTTCATAATGCCATTTTGATCATTGCAGAATTTAAAAGGTCTCACAGGTATGTATCAAAAGTCCTTTGTTAATTGGTCTGTAACAGCTGTTGGAAAAGGAAAATATTTCTTCAATGTTCTTAGGAGGACACTGAGGCCACTCCTATGATACATCTTTATCGTTTTCTGCCATTAAGTCTGCTGTTGTTTATATTTGCCTATCTCTTTACTTTTATAGAATAGTTTCCAAATTTTGGTGGTTGGTTTTCTAATTTCCAAGAACTCTGAAGGCACGTGTTACTATATCACTTCAATCTTGAAGAGCCACAAATCTTTGCAAAACTTAAACATGTAACGGATTGTCTCTTCCTACCTCCAAAATTATTAGTTGTAAAACACTGAGAATTACATGACAGATGCTTGTATTACCCTAAATAATCTCATTTAGCAGGTTTTCTTACCATGAATGCATATGCTATATTGTTGAGGACTGCACCATTATGTACAATCACGACCGCCCATGCCAATTTTCTTTATGCTGTTACAACATTTCATCAAAGAAAAACTGGAAAAGAATGAATTCAAAGCAGCTCTTGCAAATAAGGAATTAGTTTTCTTTATGGTATGTAGTCAATTTTCTTTCTTTTTAATTATTTCTGTACTCTTTTCTGCCGCAACTTTTTCTCAAGAAATATGTCCCATTTAAGTATTTTCTTGTGGTATTGTCCTTAATCAGAGTTGCTCTCATCAAAACTCACTAGCTGAAAGCGTCACAAGTAGTTGTATTGAGCTTAGCTGATTGTGATGTCAAGTATTGTCGACCAACTGAAATTTTCTTTTGCTGTAACTTCTGCAAGATGGAATCTGTGTATTCACTATTTCAAGATTTTAGATTGGTATATAGTATATACTTTTTTGTAGTATAGCAATGATAATTCTCTTAGAATTTGCTTTCTCCAGTTTTTGTTTAGGGCAAAGATTCATGAAGTTCCCAAATTGCGTGAGGAAGGATCTCCTAAAATACCACTGCAATGTGCACGTGTTATAAGGTACGCAATTACAGTCACTTCAATCATACTCACTTAGCCAGTTAGTGATTGGGGTGACCAATCTAGAATTTTCAGATTCTTTAGAGGGCATGTGTTTGGTGTCGTTTTTGACCATTGTGTGATGTTCTGAGCGAACTGTTTCCTCAGGTTCTAATTCTGCTGTGATATTTATTATGTGTAGGATGGTCCGAGATGGCTATTTTGGCTTTAAAGACTATTTTCAATCTCTATGTAATACTGTGGACGGTGGTAAAGACTTCTATTTTCTTGGTTCTGATTTTGGGAGCTATTTAGAAGCTCAGGTAATCATTTCTGTTTACTTGGCAGTCCTAACCCAAAGCATATATATGCAGTTGGAAGTATGGTGTTGTATAACTTACTATGGTGCATGGGATTTGAATCTATATGACTACAGGCTGTTGTTGATAAAGCATTTGCGGATTCAAATAAGTGGACTCAGATGAGCATCTTTAGCACAGCCGGTCAGGGATATTTAGCAGCAACAGAACAATCCAAGACTACGCGGAGAAGACTTGGGGAATTGAACTGTGCAGATTCCCTTCTGATGGCTAGCTCACCCTCACCCTCATCCACACCCCAGTAGCAACATTTTACATATTTGAATGGAATGTATCGGAAAGAATTTAAATTCTTATTCCCCAACGTCGCTTGTATAAATAAAATAATTGAAGAAATAACTGTAGCCCAATGGGCTAAAGTGGTATTTTAGCCCTAAACCCTTAAATGATATGAAAAAATTGTATAGTTAAAGAGTATAGCTGCCGTGTATAGCCGTTCGGCTACTCTGTTTAAATATTAGTATATTCGAATATTCTAAAAGTATAGCCGTGCGGCTATACGCTTTCAATATATTCAACACAAACACTAAGCTTGCACTTGCAGTCACAGCCATTTCGCCTCTCTATCAACTCAACCTTCGATTTGTTTTCCTTGGTTTCGGTGTTCGTCCTCTAGGTTCGGTACCAAAAAATGAGTCAACCCCGCCTAGCCACCTAGGCCGATTTTTCAAACACTGCAAGTGATTGAAAGTCTTAAACCCGAAATTGAAAAATGTTGCTGCAAATTTGAGCTTGAGATTGAAATTGGGAAGCACAAGTCAGTTCCATAGAAGAAGAGATCTCATGCCTCTAATTCCATTCCTCTCCATGCTTCCTGCCTTATTCTCTTCTCTCTTGGCTCTCTCCCAAAACGACATGTTCACCTCACCACACCAATGACAACTATGACAATTCCTCCCCTCTGCCAACTCCGCATGAAACTTGATTAATCTCTATGCATTCAATATTCATCCATTAAAGGTTCTTCTTGGTTGGACTACTTTTCATTCTTTGGATATTGCCTTTCTGTTATAGATTTTGACATTTGATCATGCCCTCTTGTTTGCTGAGAGAAAAAAAAAAAAAAAGATTTGTCTCCTCCTCCTTGCACATAGGAACCCAAAACCAACCCACCAAAGAACAGGAAAAAAAAAAAAAAAATATACACCAAACAAAAAAAAAAAAAAAAAAAAAAAAAAAAAAAAAAAAAAAAAAAAAAAAAAAAAAAAAAAAAAAAAAAAAAAAAAAAAAAAAAAAAAAAAAAAAAAAAAAAAAAAAAAAAAAAAAAAAAAAAAAAAAAAAAAAAAAAAAAAAAAAAAAAAAAAAAAAAAAAAAAAAAAAAAAAAAAAAAAAAAAAAAAAAAAAAAAAAAAAAAAAAAAAAAAAAAAAAAAAAAAAAAAAAAAAAAAAAAAAAAAAAAAAAAAAAAAAAAAAAAAAAAAAAAAAAAAAAAAAAAAAAAAAAAAAAAAAAAAAAAAAAAAAAAAAAAAAAAAAAAAAAAAAAAAAAAAAAAAAAAAAAAAAAAAAAAAAAAAAAAAAAAAAAAAAAAAAAAAAAAAAAAAAAAATGATTAAAATGATTCAAATGAAAAAGGACTAGGATTTACCTCCTCCTGGATAAAGTAGCTGACCCCTCAAATGAACAAAGTACTTGCACCATGGAAAGTGGCAAAAAATATGATTGCAGTCCCAAGCCATATATGGTATCTTACAGAAGCTTCAAACTGGATGCCAAGCAACCGAAATAAGGCCAGACCTTTTAATATAGGGAAAAGAAGAAAAGCCAGGCAGACTTCTGCTAGCAAACCAAACCGAGTTTCCACCTTTAGGTACTTGAGTTGCCATCTAAGATACAGTTTAAGCGTCAATCATGATGAAGTTCTTGTTTTTAAATGTTCGAAATAGAAAACTTTCGGATTTAGAACTCACGAATTCAGCATTAGTAATTTAGCAGGCTTCAAGTTCTTGAAATCATTTGAGATGCGTGCATAAAAATTCCAAGCTAAGAACAGGATAAAGAGGAAGATTGCTAGTATTTCTAGAGTGGACAAAACACCCAGAAGGGTGTTCACTACCAATGGATTTGAGAAGCCAGCAGTCAATTTTCTCCCTTTTCTGCTATCAAAATTAAAGCACACAAGCAGAAGTTAAATTGGCATCTTGAGTGATCATAACCCAATGACATAATAACATGCACTACCTTCTTATTGACTCCCTTGGCTTCAAATTCAAGAAGAATGATCCAATAATAGCCAAAGCAATTGGAGGAAATGTATACACAGCAAAATTAAGACCTGCAAAATATTCAGTATGGTGTTTGTCTTTCCCCCCATTGGATATAGCAGAAAGCAAAACCTATAAATCCAAATGAAATCTCAATTATGTACCATAATATCCAAACAGTGTAGCCCTTGCTTTATCTTCAGCCGCCTTCCATTTTCTTGTCCATAGCTGGTGGTAACTCCATGTGAATAACCAAGTGATGAGAGAAAGATATCTCTTATGAGAGCATATAATTCCCCATGTTGAGGTGTTCCACTTTCTTGCCTGAAATTGGTGTTCACCAGTGTGATGTCTAAAGAGCGAGACTTTCCGCTGAAGTTTTAATTTCAGTTCGATGCGTGGAAAAGGGTGCAGATCCTAGAAGAACAAAATATTCTAGATGCAAAGCTACTGAAATCAGTGAACATGCCTGAAAGCCAATAACTGACTTGTATTTCAATAACCTACCCAGCCCAATCAAAAAGTTGTCCAGTCATGTTAAATCTTGACCAGTGGGTTAGTCAGCCATGCGTCCACTATCTTAGAAGTCCGTACCTGATACAATTTTGAAGCAGGAAATTTTCCAATCATGGCCTGCAAAGTTGCCTTGGGAGATACAATAGTTGCTGCACGCTGAATATTCCTCTTTTGCTTATCGAGTCAGCAAGTTCAACATTCATGCATCGCATCATCCATAAGGAAGAATCCCCATCAAACCATAAACCCTGAAAAGAACCCAAAAGATGTGAGAAGAGGCCAGGAGGTGAAAACTCTACTTTCTTAAGGAACAAATCATCCGAGTCAAAGAGTAATTGTTAAAAATAAATAATTCGATAAATCAAAGCTGCGCCTTTTTCAGAAACAATTAGCGTACCATTTAAGTACAAGTGCTGCATATTATCCTTACAAACACAAAATATACATATCTCTAAGTAATCAACTCATATGCTGGATGTAGAATGTAATAATATAAACAAGGCAGAATGCCCAATTCGCACAAGCACTCGTCTTTTATTCTACGCAAGTACTACCACTAAGAAGTCAGAATTGTAACTACTAAGAAGAATACCTGCACGACCATTTGCAGAGGATGCATGCAAGAATACCTGCCCAGGCCGCCTAGACCCGCCTAGACCCGCCCAGCCCGCCTAGGCGCCGCCTACATCACCCCAGGCCGCCTAGGAGCCGCCTATATCCGCCCAGGACGCCTAGGTGCCGCCTAGCTCCCTTATAGCATCAGAGTTGTTATCTAAGTGGAGATTTAAATAGCTGGATGACATTTTATGGTTTTCATAGAGAGAGTCCAATCCAATCCAATCAATGCAGCAGCCGAAACGAAAGTAAAAAAATCGAAGCTTGAGTTGAGAGAGAGAGAGAGAGAGAGAGAGAGAGAGAGAGAGAGAGACTCTGTGAAGTTTGTAAGTGAAATGGCTGTGTGACTGCGAGTGCAAGCTCCGTGTTCGTTTCGAATGAATTTAAAGAGTATAGCCAAATGGCTATACCTTTAAAATATTCGGATGTAATTCAAAGAGTGAAGCCGCTTGGCTATACCGTTAAAGTAATATATTTAAATAGTATAGCCGAAAATATACAATTTTGTCATGTTATTTTAGGGTTTAGGGCTAAAATACCACTTTTGCAAATTAGGATAGAGTTATTTCTTCAATTATTTTATTTATACTAGTGATGTTGGGGAATGAGAATATAAATCCTTTCCAATAACTCTCATTCTAATAATTTCTAGCTACTAGCCCATTAGGCAAGAATAAAATATGAATTTTATTTATAAGAAATAATACAGGTTAAATTCATAAATACAACTGAGAAAGAAAAAAGATCAAGAAGCCGCAGCCACCATGGTGACCAAAAAAATCACTGGCAACCTCCAATTTGGATCACTAATGGTACCTTATAAACAATAGTAACTTGCAGATATGTACTTAGCCAAGTTGATCAAAGCGGATGTGCTCCGCATTTGGTACCCGAGTTCGAAAATAATAATAATAATAATAAACAGTAGCAACTTTAACAGATGCACCCCTCAGGTTTAATGGGCCTATGATTGTATCCAATGCATTTTTGTGGCTCAATTACACTTTGCATCTCTATGGCTTTTGGGGCCTGTAACAGTTTGGTTCCAATCTTTTAAAATTGGCAGAGTTAAACCAACCTTTAAAATTGCAAATACACCGTGCCCTGTTCGTCCAACAAACTATTATTTTTGAGAAGGCACTTGGTGGGGTGATACTTTGCCAGTGCCACAACAAACATCAGTAACCATAATTCTGAACCTTGATAAATTAATTTATCACCTTAACAACTCTTTATTTACTCTGAAATATTATTTCTCCATATTCTTGCTAGCAAAATGCATGCATAGAAGCTATGCTATGGGTATACTATTCAAAGAGTCGACCTAAAATGGATTGGTAATCCATTAAAGCATATATGATAATCATTTACAATAAGAGTTGCTTCAGACCATACTTTTCTCATCAAGGGGAGTTTGTAGGGGAAACACTCACACAAGCCTCTCTACCAATGCACCATACCCGTGCTCGACTTGGTGTTGCCGTCACAGGGCTGTCTTTAGCCACACTGTACGAAAATTCTAAGTCGATAGTACTCAAAGTCGAATCAGAATGTCGGCGATCCCCCTTGTTCCCATGAATGAATGAGTATCTAATGTTTTGGCCAGCCAATGAAGAGTTATGGCTGATATTAATCCATGGAAAGTAACTTGATGCTGTAAATGAATTGGGATTGTTCAAAGCATCTTCTTGCAAAACATCTCCTACTCTAGACAGTATGCTGAAAGCCAAGTTTCCAAGTACTCGAGAATATGCTTCCATAATTGAATGCCCAACATCCTGTAGAAATTAGGAAGGTGACCAAAATTTATCATGGTTCTGCAAGTTTATGATAATGCAACATGATGATCAATGTTGATTTTCCAATCAGATAGTCAAGCTTTTATCTAATGGATAGTTATGAAGCTTACCTTGCCATATTGGATTTTTGTAACATCAAGAAAAGTTTGGGGAAGGTTGGGATATCTGGTTTTCAGCTGTTGTAAAAGTACTTCTGCTCGGTCCAATAGTGACTCCGTCTTATCAATCTCAGACAACGGGTCCTTAATGAAGGACCAAGATGTTCGAACAGGAGATCTACCACTAACTTGTTCTGTAATTCTTTCTTTCCAAGAAAATACAGCAGCTTCCAGCCTGTTAATGACCTCAAGGGCATTGTGTTCAGATTTTAGGTTAAGTGAATTGACCATTTCCTCAGCTGAGTTTGTTTCTGCAGTTAAGACCTTGTATAGTTCCTCACCAAGGCTTGCTTTTCCAGACTTAATACATGAAAAGAAATATAATTATGACCAACTCAACAAGGTCTACTCAGTCAGAAAGGAAGAATCTGCTTCTTTTTCCTTTAAAGTTACTTTGTGGAACAAGCTACAAGGTTAGTTCATCCTGCTAGTTAATCTACTGTTTAATCACCATCCTTTATAGGAAAAGAACAATATAGAGTTTGTTTTAGAAGTTGAGATGGGAACTACTCTGCACCAAAGCTTAGCAATATGTTGACTCAATGCCTTCATATGTATGAGTTGAACTAAAACCAGCCCATACTGAATTGATCTTCACAATGATCAGAAGAGCATAATATGTATAATTATCAAGCACATGATGATTTTTACTCGGATTAGCTTTTGATTTTCCCAAATTAAAAAATTTGATATGTTGTAAGTAATTAAGAATGCTCTGATAGAAAAAAAGCTTCATTACCTTCGGAGTGCATCCCTGACAACAGTTGGCACAGGCATTTCAAGCAGAACACTTTCATTGATGGATCTGGCAGCCTTGAATACTTGATGAACCACCCTACCCTGATTAAGCAATTTCTGTTTTGCTGTATCAGACAGCCCAGTAGCTTGTACTTGGGGTACTGGAAGCCACCATCTCTTGCTCTGACGTGAAACTTTGTTCCTTCCTTCTGCCCGGCTACCACCTTCTGCATACCAAAACTCGTATTGACCATTGACTCAAGTGTCTCCTGAAAAATTGAAGATTAATAAGGGGAACACAAGTTAATAGTTAAAGTGAAAAAAAACATTTAAAAAATAAAGTAAAGTTCCATTCCATGGATATTGTTGGCAATGAAGAGACCACCTACAATAAGCATGGAGTCCAACTTCTGAAGAGCTGGAAGATTCATGTGTATGTCTGCACGGGCTTTTGGGGTCATAATCTGCAGAAATAAGAATCAGTCACAAATCTCATCATCCTGTATTACATGTGACGACTCAATATAAACACAACTGAACTGAAAGGTACCTCTAACATCCGACCATTTGCACCATTTTGCTTAGCAGGAACCAGCTCAACCATATAGTTCGTAGGGGAGAGAAACCAGTCCATTTCTCTTCGCCATTTGCTTTTTCTCTCTTCAGGTAGTGGTTCCAGTTTCCACAGCTCTCCAAAAACCGTTGCTGCAAGTGCAATTTTATGCCCATATCAATGTGATGAAAACATTCTGTATCAATTATGAAGACAATTTATGCCAATAATTTTGATGAGTATGTTGGTTGTTCTTAATGAATGTCAATCTCATGAGCCACATGAATAGACAATATTGTATCGTAATATGTCCTATTGAGTATTCTACCATTTTCTTTCTACACCAGTACAAAATCATGGGCAAACATATAATGGTTACGAAGACCCCTTTTTCCGCTGGTGAGAGAAGCAAATATAAAGCAAACCTGCTAGATTTGTGATGGCATTTGACAGTGCTACTGCTGTGCTGAGGCCCTTGTATCCTCCTGTGACATCTTCACCTAATAACAGCTTTGAAAATTTTTCTTTCATTTCCTCCACGTCTGAATTCTGAAGAACATAAGATGGTTTTTGTTTGACATAGAAATGGTTGGGGCTGTCTAAGGGCTCCCATTCATCCAGTCTTTGTTCATCTCTGTTCACTGTCAACCATTTTGAAGAGAATGATCCAAAAGCATCTTTCCCTGAAGAACAGGTTGAAGCATCATCATCCAGTGAGTCAGTTGCAAACCCATCTCCTCTGCTTGTTGTGCTTTCATTTTCGAGAGATTGGCCATTGAGAATGCAATTTTCAAGTCCATTGTATGTCATTATCCCTGAAAAGTTCAAGTTTCATCTCATCAGAGACGTGCAACTAAACAGTAGAAGAGGATATAAAGACACATGAAATTGGAGTAATATGCTTGAATTTTTTTTCTTGGTACAACTAAAACATAGCCTTTGAGCAGAAAAAAAGAAGCAAAATGTCAGCTACAAGTTTGGTAACAAAGAAGCTATGATATGAGTTTAGTCACTACATAAGCTATGATAATGCAGGTTCCATAAGAAAAATGGAAGCATGATGACTTCTTGTTCTTTTAAAATAAGCAAAATGTCAGCTACAAGTTTGGTAACAAAGAAGCTATGATATGAGTTAGTCACTACATAAGCTATGATAATGCAGGTTCCATAAGAAAAATGGAAGCATGATGACTTCTTGTTCTTTTTAAAATAGGAATTGTCTCTAACTAATCCTCAAATGTTTTGTGCAATGTAATGTTCTAAGCAGCAGACAGATATGACGAATTATGTCAGGTAAACTTCAATCCAGATACAACTCTTTCTTTTCCCCTGTTTGAAACCATAAGTCAGAAACCATTCCTTAAATGTTACATCAGTATGTTTAAATGGGCGTGCAAAAATATCCAGATCCCAAGCCTATTCAGTAATAATTCCTTAGAAACTATTTGTCTGTCCAGTCTGGTAGCCTATTGTTGAGTTACTTCCCATCAGAGAGAGTAGTGGATCCAGGAATTTTTCCTCATGGAGGCGAGATTAAGAAGCTCTCAGTCCTCATGCAGGTAACTGCAGTGGCCTATCATTCATCCATTGATTTACTCTTTAGGAAATTTAGTTGCCACTTTAAGGCATTTTGTCAAACAACTTCCCCCAACTCTTAAGTAACAAAACCAAAAATCAAAGGCCAAACACCTAAAATGTATGGAAATATAATTAAATTTGTGGGGTCACTTTACCCCTTTTGCCCCTTAGTGAATCCACCTCAGGAATTAGGTACAATTTGGAAGAGAAGACAAAGGAATCTACCTTTGATCATTGTTCAATTTTAATAAGAACAAAGATTCTAATTCAAGGTAGAAACTTCCCAACTCATACAAATTGGAGCATAGCAGCAAGGAACCTTCCCAGAACCATCCAAAATAGACTGATAGGTGTTCTTTGGCTTGAAAATATTCTTTTCTGAACAGCCAGGTTAATGAAAACATGGCCTGCTTAAGATGGTAATTATAATTTATCTATCAGTACGTTTCTCTTAACCATAGTGCGGTGGTGGTTAAGATTCTAACCTGCGATGGTTTTCATAATAAAAACACAATGAAAGAATACATATAAAACCTGGAAGGAGATCATTGATCAACGGAGGAAATAAAATCCCTACCAAATATTGCATTAAACATTTCAGATGAAAAGTCATGCACACAAAGACAACGACTTTTGTGTGTCCCGCTTACTTAAGTCATTGTCTCATTCAGTGGACACTACCATATATTGCTGGGTCCACCCATTTCAATCAAATAATTAGAGTCATGAAATTTGGGGTCCTATTGATAATCACAGTCACTTAAGTTATGATATCTCTATCTCATTTTGAACACACAAAAAGAAAGATAAAAAGAAACAAAGAAGATTCTTTCCATGCTAAAACAAAGCCAAAAGGTTTCGAAGTATGGGACAAAGAGCCCCATGTAGTTTGCATGTATGAAAATACGTAAACCCATAAGCAGGCCCACTTACAGTACCTTTTGCCATGAAAATACAGACATTGATATTCATCTTTAATTTTTTATAGCTACCTTCTCTTGACATGATCCTAACATTAACTATCATTACCTACTGGCCTTCAAATTTCAAGATTCAAATAGATTTCAAAACATGAGAATGACATGTTGATATCTTCTTTTGGGCAGCATATGGATATCAATTTTTTTACAAGGTAAAACCTTATTTTTGTCCCTAAGAAAAATATATATATATATATATATATATATTGTTTGGTTCCTCCGCTGGAAATGCAAAGAGAATGCGACAATAATAAAAATAATAAAAAAAAAGGAAAATACTAGGAAGACACACATTATATTACTCCTTCAGAAATTCAACAGATTCAACCCAGAAGAGAGAAAAAGCTAAATAAACTACATAATAGTATACAATAAAAAGAAAAAAAAAAAAAAAAAAAAAAAAAAAAAAAAAAAAAAAAAAAAGAATGAAAATGCATTTGGTCTTCACTTCCAGGAGACAAGAACATTAAAGTCTACCAATGGTACCATAAATTTTGCTACTCAGAAATATAAATGCAGTACACAGCTGGTTGGGGCCGCTCATTCCCGGGCCCTTACGCAAAACCCAGCTTTTCAATTCACCAAAATACAATCTAAAAAAACAAAATATACAGTCTGCACCCATGTGGTAGGAAGTAGGTACAATAGACATGACAAATAAAAGCCTAAAATTTCCAAAATTGCACAATTTGTTTGTCATATACTGCCTACTAAAGTGACTATATATCTTAAATCACGGCGACAATTGAATAATCATAATAACAATAATGGAGAATAACTACTCCCATAAAATATTGAATACTAAAATATTTTAAAAACTTACTCTCTTGCTCATCAAAGTCGATGCTAATCTCTCTGTCCCGGGTGCAACAAGCAAGCCCTCTCTTCATCCTTGCTAATCCCTTTTTGATCTTTTTGTTATTGAAAATACCAAAACAATGATTCCGAATCCGAAGTATGCTCAAGCAATAAAAGCTGAGGCACCACGCTCTATACATATCAATCATTCCCAATCAAGAACAAAATGTATTAGAATCCACTAAATTATACCCATTATAAAAATAAAAAAATTTAAGCATTGCTAGATAGGTGCAGAAGTGGGTTAGGCGAGTTTGCTAGGGTACACCCCAAGTTTGAATCTCTCACCCGTCAATTACATTAAAAAAACATTGGTAGATAGGCATTATTAAATTTATACTGGGACTCAATATGACTTTGAAAGGCCAATTACCCAATTGCGAGTGTCAACTTTTATTATTGCCTAGAGTCTTTAGCTCACTTCACTAACATGTGTAATATGTATGCATGTGCATATTTAATTAGTTATTTAAGATTTAACACACACACTAAGCTCGCTTAAGCACGAGCTGCTTAGAGAGACCATAGCATATATCTTATATATAAAACACAGTGTGGTAGGCATGTGCAAAACATTATTGACTCCACATCTACCAAGCTAATGCACCTATGACACGTTTAGAAGCCAAGCAATCTGACAAGTTTATTTCTTTTCCTTTGCTCCTCTTAATGGAAACATTTTTTCAATTTTTTTTAAGAAAGTGGCCTAAAATCTGGGGAAAGGGGAAGAAGGTTTTGACTGTGTGGTTCAATTGGTACGTTACGGTTTTCTACTCTGAGTGACTTTCAAATGAAACTTTGTTTTTCTTTGTGGATAACAGCCTTTTAGTGAACTTTAAAGGAAAAGATCTTTGCAAGTGAAACTGAAGCGACTGATTATAATGAGTGCTTTTTGGACTGACAATCAAATCTCAAAAGATGAAGAAGGGGTTTTTTTTTCCTTTAATAAAGTCACATCTCACAAAAGCATTCAAAAGCCTGAGATCGATCCCTGCCTTTACACAGAGATCAGAAAAAATCACAAAATTAAAATCTCACTAATTTTGAACACAAATGCTTCAATGTTCATCATTCTGGATTATTATTATGAAATCACTTAAAAGCTTAAACACAAACTTGGAAAACCCAGAGAAAAAGGAAAGGACCAACAGAGAAATGGAGAAAAAATAGTGCATTTTGGTTGGTGGTGGTTGGTGAAGCAAAGCATATATATGAACTGTTGCTTACCTTCAATTTGTCAAGTGCGAATGAATCTTCCAAAGCTCATCACTTCTTCTTCCAGCTGCAACTACTTCAATAAATTAAGCAACAAACACCCCCAAAGAAACCACTCATACATTTTGTGATTTGTGTATACATTTGATATGACTCATCACCTGGAGTGTGAAGGTATTGATTTTTAGAGAGAGAGAGAGAGAGAGAGAGTAGAAATGGGGTTGGGGGAGTGAAGGAGAGAATATAGGGGCTGTGGCATTTAATAGAGAGGAATGGATGCTTTTCAGAGATACAGTACAGAGGAAGAAAAACAGGGACATAACCCAAAAAGTAAAAAGAAAACTTTTTGAGAGGCTCCTCTCCTGTTTTTGAACGCATCCAACTCCATCAGTGGACCGAAATGACACTTATACGGTCAGGATCTCTTAAGGAGATTTGCAGGAAGGTCCATCTCACTTGATGCTAGTGGGCCCAAAGAAGACTTGGTGAGATCTAATGGGTAGCGCCGAATTGTAATTTCGAAAACACAAATCGGAATGGGATCCATAATTGCCTTTTACCCAAAGCATATTTGAATTTGAAGAAAAAAGAATAGAGCTCTATTCAAATCTTTTGAGTTATAACTTGTATTAGTTGAATTGCTTTACGTTTTATGATCTTTACTATTCTTGATTTTGATGTTTCTATAGGCACACAAGTCGTAAGGCCACTTCCAGCAGCCCCTAGGGCTCGGGCTAGGAGGGGGGCAAGAGCCCAAAGTCAAGTTCCAGCAATAGAGGCTGGCCCGGGCAGGGTGGGGTCCACTAGCCTGGGCTGGCCCGAAGGCAGGGGGAGTCCGAGTGCTGGCTTGAGGGCATGGCTGACGTCATCGCTGATGCCAGCATGACATCAGCAGGCGGGTTTAAATTTTTTTTACCGTTGGCATGTGCATTGCACGCGCCAATGTTAAAAACAATTTGCTGCGCGCGCGTCAGCTGTCCTCTGCCACATAGCAATCTGGTCCTCCGATTTCTAATTTTTCATCCAAACCAACGGCCTGGAATTTTTCAAGGCAAAAAATTATGAAAAAAAATCGTAAATTTTTTTTTAAAAACCCCAAAAAATACTGATTTTTTTTTCTATAAATACCAATCCCTACTCTTCACTTTTAACAACAAATTCACTTTCTACTCAATAATTTTTTCACTTTCAAGTTTAATTTTTCTCTATCAAAGAAACTATTAAATAAAATTATTTTATTCAAACATTCCATACATAAAAAAACTAACCACAACCAAAGCATTAAAATATAAAAACAAACAAACCACAACCAAAGCATAAAATTTCTCTATCAAAGAAACTATTAATAAAATTCCTTTTTGAAATTCAGATGAAATTTATATGAAATTGAAATTTTGAAATTTATCTGAATTTGAAACAAAAATTTATCTGAAATTTGAAACAAAAATTTATCTAAAATTTGAAACCGAAAATCTTATCTGAAAATCTTATCCGAATATTTTATCAGAAAATCTCATCCGAAAATATTGTCCAAATTAATTGTTTAGGTAAACAAATTTGTGAAAAAAAACAAAAAATTGAATAGTACTTGCCCTTTGCCATGGCAACTGCTGGAAGTGCAATTACTTTTTGCAAAGACAGACACTATTCACGTGAATAGTGTTTGTCCTAACCCCCCCTCCTTGCCATGGCAAGGGTTGACTGCTGGAAGTGCCCTAAAGGGCAAAGGCGAAATCATCCCGGGGCTGCTTGTCTTTTTCTTTTTTTCCTCTTTCCATTGTCTCTTCCCTCTTCACCTTCCTCTTTCACCCCCTCATACATGTTCCATGTCCTAACTCAACCTATCCTTAGATATGGGACCTATATTCGCTCTTGGAAACATCTCAGACCTTTCTTTTGTTTAAGGTTTGATCATCTTTCACCAACTAGCTTTCGTCCAATACTACTTCTTTTCCCAATACTAAAAGAGGTTTGGAGCTCGTATACCCCCTCGCGTATGGACGAAAATAAAAAGGTTTGAGAATCTTCTCTCATTCTATGATTCTCTTTATTTAAGACTATACATATCCATGATGTTTGATTTATCTCATATATTTATTTTATTTTGGAGTTTTGATTTCTTTCTCTCATCTCTCAATTGGGCACTTCGATATGTAATTTTTTTTTTCTCTATTCGGTTTAATGGTTTTGTTAATTCCTATGCAAATTCCAAATTAGAAAAAAAAATTACAAAAAGCCTCTAGTTACTTCCAATCCTATATTTCCCTTCATCGAACTGAAGGAGGTTACAACGTCTTGTTGATTAGTTATCAATTCTAAATATCCAAATAAATAAATAAATATATATATATATGTGCAATCCACTTCCATTGAGGGATTCCTCAAATAATTTATTTGAGAGACACCCTTTAGCAGTGGCAGAGCAAGGAATCTTATCACAAGGGGTCTTAATGTAAAAGTCCCAATAAAAATTTGGGAGATTCACTAATATACCCAATATAGGAGCCCAAATTATAAAAGAACCCTATATGAAATGGAATTTATAAATACACCCAAAGCCCATTTATAACATAACAAAAAGGCTTTTAACTTCTTTTAAATTACAAAATTGCCATTGATTTCTTAAAACAAACCCAACCCAAAATTTCTTAAAAAAACCAAAAACACTCAATAGGGTATCAAAGTAATTTAATAATTAAAATTAAATTTAATAGTACAATTTGTCATTTTTTGGGTTTTTTTTGGGTATGTTTATAAAAATGAAATGATGTAGGGTTTATTTATAGTTTTAGTGCTAAGAATGGGTATATTACTAAATATCTCTAAAAATTTAGGATGGAAAAAAATATTGAAAATAAAATCATAGTACTTTCATTCATAATTCATATCGGAAACAACATTAGAAACTACAATTTTCCACGACAAGGTTTCATATTTTGAAAACGTAGCATTATAGCTTCATTTTCAATTTAAGGAAAAATATCTCTCTCAATATAAACTAATCAACCTCATCAACAATCAACCATTTCTCCCATTTTGTTCCATTTTTAATTTTATTTTTTTTTTTTTTTTTTTTTTTCTGTTCTTTGGTGGGTTGGTTTTGTGTTCCTATGTGCAAGAGGAGGAGGAGACAAATCTTTTTTTTTCTCCTTTCTCTCAGCAAACAAGAGGGCATGATCAAATGTCAAAATCTATAACAGAAATGCAATATCCAAAGAATGAAAAGTAGTCCAACCAAGAAGAACCTTTAATGGATGAATATTGAATGCATAGAGATTAATCAAGTTTCATGCGGAGTTGGCAGAGGGGAGGAATTGTCATAGTTGTCATTGGTGTGGTGAGGTGAACATGTCGTTTGGGGAGAGAGCCAAGAGAGAAGAGAATAAGGCAGGAAGCATGGAGAGGAATGGAATTAGAAGCATGAGATCTCTTCTTCTATGGAACTGACTTGTGCTTCCCAATTTCAATCTCAAGCTCAAATTTGCAGCAACATTTTTTCAATTTCGGGTTTAAGACTTTCAATCAATTGCAGTGTTTGAAAAATCGGCCTAGGTGGCTAGGCGGGTTGACTCATTTTTTGGTACCGAACCTAGAGGACGAAACAACCGAAACCAAGGGAAACAAATCGAAGGTTGAGTTGATAGAGAGGCGAAATGGCTGTGACTGCAAGTGCAAGCTTAGTGTTTGTGTTGAATATATTGAAAGCGTATAGCCGCACGGCTATACTTTTAGAATATTCGAATATACTAATATTTAAACAGAGTAGCCGAACGGCTATACACGGCAGCTATACTCTTTAACCATACAATTTTGTCAT